TACTGCCACTAATGCCTCTCATATCATCAGACGCCACTACCAGAATCTCCAAGACCAATATCATCATGTCTACAGCAAGAGACTTGTTACAGCTTACAGAAGAAATAAAAATTTCAGTAATATCCTAGTCCATGGTAGACTTAACCCTCAATAGCCTTAAAATTTCTGACTTCTTTTCTTTTGAATTTCCTATGATGACTATTCATATTAATGCTTCTTATTTTCTTATATATACATGAAAAGATTTTGTTTCACAATACAGGTTTTATCGTTAGATGATTATTGATATATCAGAAGAACGTTGACTATTATATTTTCAGCTATTTCAGCTAAAGAAATGATACTACCACAGATAGTATTACAGAGACATCCTTAGTTAACATATCTAATTATCTCAACCTTTAACTTGCACCTTGTTTTATCATAAATCTTTACTTTGTGACCTAGGCCAGTGCTTTCATGAGACTATGTTCTCATCACCATCTAACACCAAATTACGTCAAAATCTGTCAAGATTTGTGCCTTCTTCAGTATTTACGAGCTAAAAATTGAATGCGTTTTCAATAACAAGGGCAATAACTCCCACTAAACGAACACTACGTGTTGTCAAAATCGTCAAGAATTGTGTCTTGTAGAGTGTTTATGAGCAATTGTAGAAGGACGGATGGACAGAGCGACATGGGTGACGGCAATATACGCCCCCCATTTCATGTGGGCGTAAAAAAAGCAATGGCAGATGTTTAGACAGTCTAGTTCATCCCAATTATGGTAAAAAGAATAAGAATCTAAATTAAACTAAAACCTTAACACTCACTTACCTTGTTTTTGCAATTTTTTGGTTATGTTTTTGACTTTTTCAGCATAAAATAAATAAGTTTTAAGATTATATTCTAGGGAGGAAATCTCTGGTAGGGCTAGCATACTCTCATCTGCCATGAAAGGAACATCTGGACAACCTGAAGTGAGTATAGCTGAAAAAAGAAAAGAAAAAGAATGGTCAAATATGCATATCAAATTGCTTCACCAATAAACCAGAACGTCACCCAAGGTCTAGTATAAGCCCACATGGCAGATAATTCCAAAAACCGTACATAGTGTCAACATAACAAAAATAAAATCTAACACTTTGTGTTTACAAAAGTCCAGCTAAATATTTTGAATCTGTGATCACCTTCACATTTGATACAAGCAAACATATAAAAATTGATCATATATCAAGGTATCATCCTTGACTTCATAGTATACATACAATCCAAATATGGAAACAGAATGTTGAGCTAGAAGTTCTCACTGAGCACAAGCAATCTATGGCATTTAAAGTGATATTTCGTCTTAGAATGAACATACAATTCAACTTCGCAATATGAGTAAATATTCATCACTGAACTTTCCTGGTGTCATAAAGTTACAACAGAATCCCTAGAAAATCTGGAAAAATCATTAAACTAAGTAATTTTGAAAACGCTTAATCTTGATAAGCATTTTTCAATAGTTAATTGCATATTTATGGATAATTACTAAGTTTTTTGGATTTATCGGATTATATTAGAATCCTGTTATATTATTATAGATACACAAGGTGTATCTACTGATGAATATATGCTCTTATTGGAAAAATTTAAAGATGGGTTCCCTTATTTTAATTTATGAAAATGCTTACTTATATGAATAGAAAGTAAAGGTTTTCTAATGACTTGGAAAAATACAAGTTTGTATCACATGTCCATAATTAATTCATAATTAGAAAGAGAATTAGAAGAGAATTACAGACAGAATTGAATGAGTGATCGATCAAGAAAGGTCAAAAAGTCTTTTTGTTTATCCAGACTGTACTTACATGGACATTTATGATTAGTTAAATCTCTTAATTATATGCAATGAGAACATAATGATATGATTAAGAATACATGATAATTCATAAGAAACACAAATTAATCAAATAGTTTGCTTAATATGACACTAAAAAAATAAGGAAAACCATCTTTAAAATTCTTAAATTTTTATGTTCATTCTAAGAGATAGTATCACTTTAAAATATAAGTTTACTTCACTTCCCAAAACGGACTACCTGAAGCAGTGGCAGGACCTATAGCCTTTAAAACAGTTAAAGCTTGTATTGCAGCTGATAAATCTGGTAGTAAGCTAAAACTCTTTGAACTGGCACTTTTAACCTCTTCTTCAGTATTACTGGCAACCATCTGCTGTAAACGTGGACGAAATTTTCCTCTCTGAAAAAAGAGAGAATATAAGAATATTTTTGTAGGCTATGTTGGAACTCTATGGTAATATTTTGATAGCTAGCATTCATATACACGTATGTTTATTGTAATCTTCTTTATATATACATCTTAGAAAAGATAACTAGAGTGGAAAATGGTATCAACTGATCAAATTGGACTATAAATGATTTTTATGTTGAAGTCATTTGATTGTTGATCTTTCCATATTTTCCTTGGCAAATATTTAACTTAAAAGGAATCTATAGCTGCAATGATGAAAAAGTACGCATTTCTCTTAGTTAATAAATCAATGGCATCTTTCATCCAACTATGGAAATTCTACATTATCAAAAAGCTATTATATTGATATACCTACTGTCAATTTCCAAGTCATAAGTTGACAAATTTCATCATGTGTAATATACTTTTCTCTCCTATCGCAAATGATTTCTGGCAGTTCGCTTTGATACCTGTAAATAAAAAAGAAACAATGTATAATACTATAACATCTAGGGAAAGCCTGGAAACATCTGAAACTATTGTTTCTATTTAAAAGCTCATTTCAGAATTTAACATCATTACTTTCATTAGGGGCACTCATTAGTCAATTAATGAAATATAATATCTGCAGGTGATGGATGATAATAACATACTTGAGGTGAGAACAGTCTAAACCTTCCAGTGGAATTTTGTTGAATTATTAATTCCTACACCCACCATTTGTCTAATGTTAAAAATTCCTTCTTTTTGTCTTGTTTCATTTTTTCTGCCTTAGTTTTGAGAACTGCGTCATATTTCTCGTGAATATTTCTCCATTCAGAATATTCAACGTTGGTAAAAATATCTCTCATATTTGATCTGTTAAATTCTCATCATATGTTACAAATTCCTAACAGATTGTGTCCATGTGCAGTGAGTATTCTATATTACAGCTCTGTGGTCAGTGCGTGACAACTCTTCCCGCGGTTTAAAAACAACTTTTTTCCCTTCAATGAGAAGAGCTATTTAGACTTGTTCATCTAAATTGGAAAATTTGGCAATATAAAATTACCTATCAATCGAGACTAAGAGAGCCGGAAGTCAGTTTTAAACGCGGTATTCACAAAATTTGACAGTGAGGAATATTAACAGAACAAGAAAACCTAGGTTTGATATAAGCTCCAATCTCATATAATTCGTTTCTCAAACTCTTATCTTCACTATCGTTACAGTTGTAGTAAATACACATTTGCGAAATTCTGTTTTGAAAATGCATTCCTGAGGCCCCATTGTCTGAGCAAATCAAAAAGTTTTTTGAATATTTTCGATATTTTGGGGCATCAGACTCTAAATAGTATAGTGGTGTAACCTATTTTCATGGATATAAGGATTCAACACCGAATTTCGTCAAAGTTAAAAAACGAATTTTTTTTTTATGTCTTAGATGTTTACTCAGATATTCTACAAAATAATTAGAATTGGTTTATTTCGATTTTCTTTATGAATCCTTCACTTTGACCCATATGTCATGAGCAACCAACTCAGCAATGGCGGCAGAATGCGTCACCTATTTTCGTGTTTAATGTTTGATCTATAAATAAGTCTAGAGAAACACGTTGTATGGATATCGGGTGGTACAATTAACTTATCTTAGTATTTATCTTTAATATAAATTCATTACAACTAGTGACAGTTCCTTGAAAGAACCATGATTTAAAAAAAAAATAGTGACTGACAAAATAAGATACGTGATTTATTGCTAAAAGTCACTGAAACAACATAAGAATATGGTCCACTTTGTGTTTCATAGAAATTTTCTGCTGACACGGAATCCACTAGTTGATCACGTGACTTCATTCGTTGGACTACATTCTATCAGACGACACTTGGAATTCCGATTACCGCTTGGTATTATAAGGAAATTCGGCCGATAAAAAAAATGATGACGTTTGGTATTAAGTGAAAAAATGTATTTGTCAAAGTATACATTAATACATTTTACCTTGCTTGAAACTACTGAATTCATTCTACTGGCTGATATTGTACAGAAAACCCATGTTTGTCAAAACAAGCAAATGCGGAGGTCACACATGTAAATTATTAATCATTTCCGGAAATCCACGAAAAATAGGTTACCACGAAATTAGGTTACTTGACTGTACTTACAGAATGGCTTTGCATTGATAAAAATATAACCTTTTACATCGAAAAGAAACTCTCCTAGAAATTTCAACCCACAAAAGTCACAAATTATGTCTGAAAAATGAAAAAACTTTTTACTTTGCTCAGACAATATATAGATCTAGTCTAAGCAAAGGTTTTTGAATTTTTTCTATATTGTTAAAAACAATTGAAATATCAGCCTAAAAATAGTACAGTGGTGTAACCTATATTTGTGAATATATAAGGATTCAACATCGAATTTTGTCAAAATTAAAAAACTTAGTAGTTTTCCCAGATATTCTACAAAATAATTAAAATTGGTTTATTTCGATTTTCTTTATGAATCCCTCACCATAGACCCATATTTCATGAGCAACCAACTCGACGATGGCTTCTAAATGCGCCACCCATTTTTGTGTACAATGTTTGATCTATAAATAAGTCGAGAAAAACATGTTGTATGCATACCCAGTGGTATAATTGACTTCTTTTAGTATTTATCTTTAATAATATTACATTATAACTAATGACAATTCCTTCAAAGAACAATTATTTAAAAAAAAATAACTGACAAAATAAGATATGTAAAACGTAAGAGTGATTTATTGCTAAAAGTCATTGATCCAACATAAAAATACGGCCCACATTGTGTTCCATAAAAATTTTAACACATGACCTCGTTCATTGACGACACCTTGAGTTCTGATTACAGCTGGAGATTATAACGAAATTCGATCGATAAAAAAATTGTGACATTTGGTAATAACTGAAATCGGCCATTTTGTATTTGTCAAGAGCTAAAAAATTCCAGTTTCTAAGACTAAAGTATGATAGGTCAAAAAAATGCCTGTTGTTCCTTTGAGAATAAAGCCTTTCTAAAGGTTTCTTTTTTTACAGAAATGAGACGGTCAGAGTCCATGGGACCCATGAGGGTCCAAAATGATGATCATCATGGACGTGTGGTGAGAGGGAAAAGATCTTCAAGTGGTACTAGAAATTCTGGTAGATCATCCAGTGAAGGGAGACCATCAGTAGGTATTGGAAGATCTTCTATGGGGAGACCATCAACAGGTGTAACACCCAGATCAAGAACATCTACTGGTTATAATTCTACAGGTTACCCTTCATTAGGCCGACCATCCACAAGTAGTAGTATACCAACTTATGGTGGTGGGGCTGCTAGACCATTATCTAGACTATCTTCAATTGGGCAGAAAAATCCAAGGTAATATACTGTTTTGATGTGTGCCTGAGATCTGTTTCTAATTATGACCTTATTGTTGGCTGTATTAATTGCTTTCACATAGTTATAGAAGATACTCTCCCATAGAAGCAATGGCCAGGGCCACAAACAGAGAACATATACCGTACGCTTACTTCTTTTACATCATTTATCAATTTGAGTAATAAAGAATAAATTGAAATGTTTTTCGCTGCATGCAAAGAGAAATTACAACCATGTAAATTCTGAAAAGACTGAAATTATACAATGATTACAAATAATGGAAAAAAATTGTTTGAAGCACATAATGCAATTGAGAGAGTTAATGGACAAGTAAATTACTCTAGAATATTGTTCCTTTTAAATGCAGTAACTCAAATTTTGGGAAAATATTCATCTTCAAGTTCCTTCTTATATCATTTGACAATCAGAGAAGCATTTTTGGCAGTGGAATTATAGGTTACAACAAACAGTTTGTGATATTAAGAATTGAAAAAAAAAGTGTTTCAGACCTTAGATGGGACATTCTTGATTATTTTATTTTAGGCATTCAAGTATTGGTGGACGTGGAAGATCAGCTGTGCCAAAAGAATGCCGACCAATATCAGATAAAGCTTTTCAACATAAATGTATACGACGACTTAGTGAGGTAATGTTCCTTGATTTCATCAGGTTGAATGTAGACCACACTTAAATATTTTTTTCTTGGTACATGTTCCAATTTTAAAAAAATTGGTAAAGAAGTAAAAGTATGACAGTTTCTTGTAACATAACACTCTCATGTTTATGTTTTTAATAAGGAATGTTCACAGGCTCCCGATTCTGGTTGGAAAACTTGATTATTAAGTAATCAGTGTTATTCAGGAATAATTTTTAATTTCTAGTTTCTGATTGAACGTGGCTACCCATGCAGCATCTCTAATAAAGGTCTTCAAAGTCCAACAAATAAAGAATTTTATAAAATATTTGAGGTAAGATTCAGAAACCGTTAACTGAAACAATTGAACATTACTGATTGGAACCTAACTATACCAATATGAGAACAAACATTTTTAAATGTAACCTCTAAGTAAAAGTCAAGAAAGTTATAATAGTGATTTTTTCATTTTCATTTCATCTGAGTGAAATCTTTGAATAACAGAGATGTACAGTCATTTATTTACTAATTAATTTTGGTCTATATATAGTTTATCTATAGTTTTATGGTACCTGATATTAAAATAAACAAACCAGATGAAGATATACCTAGAATATTTAAACTATTAGGTTACCCTGCTGTTATAAGTAAAAGTTCAATGTTTGCTGTTGGTTCACCCCATACCTGGCCAGGATTATTAGCTGCTTTAGTGTGGTTGATGGAATTAGTACAGGTATTCAAATTATTCCAAGAGATTCAGTACAAAATTGGTTGATTAGTGGTTATTTAATGACAGATTTGCTCAATATTCTAATATCATAATATTTTTGACAGAATACTACATGGGTAGTTACTATTGAGCAGCGAATATCAACATCTAGAAATATTTACCACAACAATTCTAATGTGGTTGTATTGTCATCGTCCGTGCCCCTCTGTCCGTTTGTTTGTTTGTGAGACTAGAGACTACAGTTTTTTAATCGGAATTAAATGAAATTTGGTGTGATCATTTGTAATGATGAGATCTTGGACACGTTCGAACTTAGTTTTCATTCTATGAAAGGTTTTATACGCCCACATTATAATGTGGTTGTATGTTGTTGTCGCCCCAGTCCATCCCTCCACAATTGGCTTGTGAACGCAATAGAGACAAGAGATTTTATCTGATTTTAATGAAATTTGGTGTTATCATTTATATTAATGAGATCTTGGACAAATTTGATTTTGACGATTCTGCGATGAACGTTTTTTAGTTATTGCCCTTGACTTATTTATTGCCCTCAAGATTTGGTTGTGAGCACAATTTCATCCAATTTAAATAAAATTTGGTGTGATTATTTATAATGATGAGATCTTAGATAAGGACGAACTTGGCTATCTTTCAATGGATGAGTTATTGCCCTTGACTGAGAAAAAATGCATCAAGATTTGTTGGCTCGTGAACTAGAGGTTTATTTCAGAATTTTATTAAATTTTGTGTGTTTGATTAAATCAACAATATCAATATTTTTGGTATGATTTGACACAGATTGGTGACCGCCCTTGATATACTGAAAATGTATCAGGAAAGTGGGCGTACCTTGCTAGGCAACCACTTGTTTACGTTTTAACCAATATATGGCTTAAATTGATCTAAAACAAAATATGGGACAACTGAAATTCTGAAGAACAAAAATGGTATTATATCAAATTTAATTAACTTCTTTTCAGTTTTATCTTCTTAATCAAGAGAGTGGTGATGATAGATATTTGTTTACATGTGACGATGATTTTGATGCCATGTCAGAAGACAAGGTCAGTTCTCTAGCCATAAATATAGTAACTATTGCCAAAGGAGCACTCTTGATCATCTCGTTAGATTTGAATCGTTCGTCAGGGATACCTTCATCCAAAATCACCATTTAGTAGCCATATTTTTGATTTGGAGAAGGCTTATGATACCACTTGGAGATATGGCATTCTTTGTGATCTCTGACTTTGGTCTCAGAGGAAGATTGCCATTATTCATTTCCAATTTCCTAAATGATAGGACGCTTAAGGTACGACTTGGCTCCATTTTTTCAATCCTGTATCAAAGAGCTTGATACCATACATCATCAAGGACTTAGAATCAGTTTAGGTGCATTGCGTACAACTCCAGTTGAAAGTCTGTACCTCGAGGATAATGAGCCCTCATTGTAAGACAGACAGGACAGACTTTCATTACAGTATACCATTAAAATAGCATCTTTACCACATCATCCTGCTTACCACCCTGTATTTAGACCTTTCACCCTCGTGCTGTTTCTTCTTTTGGAGTCTGCATTCAACCACTTATGTCAGCGGCTGATATCACTTCGTATGACCACAAATCCACCGTGGTCGATTGCTCCATTTCAGATAGACTCAGACAAGCTCTATAATGTTTCAATCTGAATTTCTAGAACTAAGGTCTAAATATAGGGATTACTCACCTTCTATACAGATGGATAGCAGCCGCTACAGTTACACCATCCGAAGTTCTATCTGTAGCTTTACCATCAGCATCCTCCATTTTCACATCAGAACTCATTGCCATTTTACAGGCATGGATATACAGGGGAATGACATGGCAGATCCGGCGACTAAGGCTGCCTTGTCACTGCCTGTCTCCCCATTTCCCTTGCCTTATACCAACAACTTTAAGTCTGTTATAAAGATTTGTATTCAACAACAATGGCAGCAAAGATGGGATGCTGCAAGCTCAAACAAACTTCATGCCATCAAGCCTCTCTTAGGAGACTGGCCCTACTGTGCCAACAGGAGGATTGAAGTTGTTTTGTGTCGACTTGGTCATACTCACCTCACCAACTGTTATCTGCACAAGCGAGAGCCTCAACCAGTCTGTGAGCACTGCCAGGTCCGCCTGACAGTGAAACACATTCTGATTGAGTGCAAGCATCTCAAACCTATAAGATCTCAGCACTACCGTGTTGGATCTTTACATCATTTATTTGCACAACCTTCTCTTTATGAGCAGGTTGTCATATTTTTAAGACAAACAGGTCTTTGTTTCAAATTTTAAATAGATTTGACAATGTTTGTTTTTAATGTTTTGTTTGTTTTTAATACTATAATGTGGTGTATTACCTGTGATATTGTTTTTAGTAGTCATTAAATGACTTTCCCTGTGTTATGGTTTTTAGCGTCTTGTTTTGTTATCACTATGTGACTCCTTTCTGTGATATTGATAGGTGTTATACTGTTTTAGATTTTATTATTTTATTGTATCTGGTGCTGATGCTCCTTAATGCATTTCATTTGATTTCATTTTTTCAGTTTTCCCCTTTCTGTTTATTTGCTAGCTAATATTTGTCAGAATTACAGTATATGTCAATTAATATTTCAGATGTTATATCTGTATGTAGAGAAAACATACTCAGCTTATCTCAGTGGAGAAGATAATTTTGATAAGTATGATGTGGCATTATCAAGAGCTATAAGTAATTATGATTTTTATAACTAAAATTTCCAGGATGGTCAAAAACATAGTGTCACTTGGCATTTCAGAATTTAATGAATTTGTGTGTTCCTGTGTATTAACTTCTTTATTCCTATTCTATCAAATGTCTTGATACAATTAAATAATCCATAATCCTGAGTGAGCTTTTCTGTACATACTTAAAAGTGTTTATTGTTTTTATAGAAGCTAAATACTGTGGTGGTTCAACTGCTACAGATCCTTTATCTGAGATCAACAGATTACAACAAGAATTAGATTTATTAGAGCAAGATTCTGTAAGTTTGACACAGTTTTATGATTTATTATTTGACATTTAAGTTTGAATTTATACCAGCTGCAAATAAAACTCTGTACTGATGCATGTTATTTGTATTGGTTTAGGATATATTAAGAAATTTAAAGGAACAAAAAGGGTTACTGGAGAGTGATTGTCAGAGAATGGCCAATTATTTTGATCAAGTTGAGAATTTCCTTAAAGGACTGGAACATCAACGCAAAGAAACAGTAGAAGAACTGGAAGAACTTGGTAAGATTTTTTGAACCCATTCACTATCGGGTATATATAGTTAATTACTAGCTTTTGACTAGAAGTTCCTATATGCTGACTTTTTGACACCATTTTAGCAAGAGTTACTGTATAGCTCTCATATTAAATCTTTTGAACAATCATATAATGGATATGATAAAGTTAAATGTTCACCAACGCTGCGATCAAACTATTCATATTCCACCCGTGTTACAACTTTTGATAACTCTAAGCTGGTATGCTTCTGGGTCATTCCAGTTCATTGTAGGAGATATAATGGGCATCCACCAATCTACTGTCAGCAGAACTGTGAAAAATATATCAATGGCAATAGCTAGCCACAGGTCTGATTTTATAACATTTCTTACTGAGAATGAAAGAACCGAAATTCAATGTGAATTCTACGATTTGACTAACTTTCCGTAGTAATATGAACCATAGATTGTACCCACATCCCAATCCAATGTCCAAAAGGGGAACAGGGTGAACTTTTCAGAAACAGCAAAAGCTGGCATTCCAATGTGGTGACCACAACTTGACAATTTGTGATGTAGCAAGATGGCCTGGGGCAACACATGACACCCGAATATTCAACAACAGTGCCATTTCGTTTAATTTGAAGAAAGTCAGACCGGTGGCTATATACTAGGGGACGCTGGATATCCCTGCTGGGCTTATCTTTTAACACCATTTTCAAATCCTAATAGTAATTCTGAACGGAAATATAACATTTCTCATACGACCACAAGAAATACTATTGAAAGACCGTTGTATTAAAGAGTCTTTCTAGGACAATCCGAACTAATCTGGACACAACAATGGCCGTGATTGTTGCCACTGTGATTCTTCATAATTTAGCGAGGCAAATGGCCGAGATAACTGATGAATGTACCTCATCATGATCAACCAGTCTGGACTGAATGTCCAGGTATCACCAAATATTTGAACATTGTTTGCAATTGGCCTTTCAAAACGCTTCAATAGCCCTTTGTATATGTACTATATTGATTCACTAGATCTATACAAATTCGATACGAAATTGATTCAATTTGGGCCTGGCATGGAATTTCCCTTTTGTAGAAAATTTAAGGGTAAGACTGGGTAGTACTGATGTACGGATATGACAATTAAGAAAACAAACCTGATATAGAGTGAACCGTACTATCACTATCCTGTACATCATTGTGAAATTCGGCATCATTATCAAATATATTGGCCAGTAGGTGCATTTGTTCCGGTATCATAGAGCATATTTTTTGACTGGCATCGTCCGACTTCTCAGCTACATCACCTCCTATTTTCTTCCTCTCGCGCTTTTCAAGGGCAACTGATTTTTTGGCCTTTCAAATTGTTCCAACATTTTTTCAATTGACTGGAATTGCGTTTGTGGAAATCTGGCATAGCACAAAAGCGACTCTCGATTTACTTCCAAGCCTTTTCTTATGTATAGACCTGACGTCATTTTTTTGCATTCAACAATGTTTTTATACTCGTCTACTGTGTCTAAGATGAAATCTTGTTCGCTAAATGCTAATGTTGGCATTCGTTTCCGTGATAGTTGTGATTAGTCCTCCATAGTGTTTTTTCGAAACCTCGAATGAATATTTGTATCTACCAGCGCTGAATCTATACTATATTTTAGCGTAAAAGCATGCTATTTTCATGACATTCAGGTGGGTTAGAAAAGTTTGGGTGACTAGATCGTTAACTGAAGAACTGTAGTGATTTATGTATCAAAAAAGTGTGGATGGTTCTTCTTCTGAAGACTATTTACATATATTCAAGTATCAACCTTCAACAATGAAATGAATCAAACTTTCAGTATCAGATTCTCTTCACTTTGCTTAGCTTATGCAAATTGATAAACTTAATTTATTGATTGATTTTAGTGGGTAAAAAGACAGCTTTAGAAGAGAAATATAAGAATATGCAGAATATTTGTGAAAAACAGTTAATGACCCAAGCTGACATCCACAGAATTCAGTTAAAACGAAGAGAATTACAGAATCAGATAGATAACCTAGAAAAAGAAAGTGAAAGTTTAGATAAAGACGTATGGAAGTCAGAGACTGATGTAGCTAGATCTAGAGAAAAGGTAAAATTTACAGATCTAGTTAATCAAAGATATCATATCTAAAAAATACAGGGAAGCTGCATTAGCTTGCTGCCAACCTTCCTGGCAAAATATTTCTCATTACACATTGCATGATCTGGCTCATCTTCATTAGCAAATTGAGTAGAATGTATAGAAAGTCAAAGCAATAGACATGTTGAAATATTCATTTGTATTATTATAACCTTTTATCATTAGGGTTCTCTTTCAGATTGAAGGAATCAGTAGAGAGTTTAATTCTAAAGCTCATACATTAAAATTAATACCAACAACAGCAGAAAATGCTCAAGGTATAGATTATGAAATGAAAACCTCTCACTATAGTACCATGAATGATGACCATGAAACTTTAAGGGTATGTAACAATATAAATACTCTTGATGCTAGGTCATTTATATCATTATTACTAAAGTAACTACAAAATTTAGACAAGGACTTTTTTTCATTTTTAATTACACTGCTAAAAATAACCTACTCTACTTCCATGAACATCTTGTTTTAATCTTAATGTTTTATATTAATGTCTTAAATTAGTTATGAAATAAAAAAACAGATCATGTATGAGTATTTATCTATATTTCAGTCAGCATTGTTAGATTTTAAGAAAAGATGTAGTGCTGCTGTAAGAGATAGAGAAAGTGAAAAATTAAAACAAACTAATCATATTGAAATGGTCAGTCACTAAATATTTATCACAGTATAGTACATGTATGATTATAGATGATGATAACTTTTATAAACTGTCATAAATATGCTACTCTCAAGGTGTATCGTCTTTTTTGTGAGGATTTTTTAGCTGATGACTTTAATTAATCCATGATGTGAGGAATGTAATGACATTTTGACTATGAAAAGTATAGTGTCACAAAGTACAAGTTGGGATTTTCATTTGTTCGATTATTTTCGTGATCCCTTTAAGTCTCAATCAAATTAGAGTTCCTAACTAACAATAAAGTGTCTAATAATCAATAATTTTGAACTAAATGATGTTTTAGTTAAAAGAATCTGTAAATGTTGGAGAAGAAGAAAACAACTTTCTGGAGAAAAATGTAAAAAAGAAAGAAGAAGAAATAGAAAGAGTTAAAAAGGTATTTCAGACTGTTTTCAATCTTAACTTGTTACCATGTATGACTTCAGTGAAAGGTCCACATGATTGCCTCAGGGTTATAAAGACCACTGCTCTAATAGAACAACCTTTAATAATTGAGTTGATATTAGAATAAAATTGTTTATCAGTTTAGTCAGGTTATAATTATATTTTAGATGAATCAGAGAGAATATGAAATGTTACAAGAAGAAATTGATAGTGAGGAGAATATTATTCTAGAATTACAGAAACAATGTCATATTAGTATACAGGAGGCACAACGAGATCTTCGAGATACTCTCAAAAAGTAGGTTTTTCATGAAAAATGGATTTAGTACCTGCTTTGTTGGTCTTTTATTCTGTTGATAACAAGATACATTTTTCATTTATAATTATTGCCTTTGATCTGAGACAAGACTCCAAATTGTGGTCAAGTGAAGAATCTGCTTAAATCCTCTTTTGGTCATGTTAATAATTTATTTAAATCTTTTGTGAATGTATGTTATGTGTCTTTCAATTTAAGCCTTGAACTGTTTGTGGGTTCTTCCTTCAAAGTGAACATAAAAAATATGTTATTTGATATTATTGGATGCTTTTATCATAGATGTGATGAAAAGAAATTAGAAAATGATAAGATACTAAGGACAGCTATTCATACTCTTAATGAATTAGTAGATGAAGTTGTAACTGGCATGTCTAAAGAACAGGTAAGTCTGCATACAGTCAAACTTGTTTTAACGGTCACTGTATTCAACATGATCCTTCAATTAACACCCAGTAACCTGTTTCAATTGTCCACACCTAGACAAAAACCAGTACAGAATTTGTATATTTGAAGTGAGAAAGCAAATGGTGGTCTTGCATTTTACAGTCATCTACACATAATGATATCATCTTTCAATGATTTTGTATATCAGAGTTTCTACATTTGCTTTGTTTAAGGATAGTAATAATAAAATAATTGTATATATTTAGGAACAACTTGATGACCATATATTGTACAGTGAAGGTATATTAAAACAGTTATTAGCAGAAGAGCAAGAACAGATTAAAAGAATGGAGAAAGATAGAGAAGAAATGATGAACAGAGAGAAATCTAGAATGTCTTAATCTTGCTCTATAATATCTATCTATCTATCTTTAAAGGTGCAGACTTGAAGTTCAGTTAATTCAGGATATTATGGAAACATTTTTATATTGTCTGCACCCCTGTCCGTCCGTCAACATTTGCTTGTTGGATTTTTTGATGGAATCAAATGAAATTCGGTATGTCTATATATATTCATAAAACGAAGATCAAGTTCGAATTTGATTTATTTTCGACCGTTAGAAGCAGAGTTATTGCCCTTGCCCCAAAATCTTGAATATGCAACATCAGTTGCTCGTAAACACTCTAAAAACTAGATTTTTTGATGGAATCAAATGAAATTCGGTATGTATATACATATTCTTAAAACGAACATCAAGTTCAAATTTGAGCTATTTTCGACCGTTAGGAGCAGAGTTGCCCTTTCCCCAAAATCTTGAATATGCTATTACTCTCTTAGTTTTCAACTTTGATGAAACTTAAAATGAATGTTTCATTGATACCATTAGCATGCCCTGAAGGGCGTATATGGCTGTGGTCCACTATCTTATACCAAGTAATTCTAATACAGAGTCTGCATTTTCATCTTTAAAAAACTGTACAAGTAAAACTATTATTGGGCACAAAATAGTTATTCAAGATTATACGTCCAGTACTAGCTCATAGAGAGGGTATTAATTGACTGATACAATTGATATTCAGTGCTGTTTTTTTGATGATTAGAACTGTTCATGATCCATATATAATAGTTAGCTGAACAATCCACTAGTCTTAATTATCAATATTTAGTTAAATTTTTGTATGTGAAGTATAGTAATTCTAACTTGAAGTTAACTCTAAATAAAATTCTGTAATATCAGAAGTAAGATAATATCTACACATACTTTTAGGCAAAGGGTCATAAACTCCAAAGGACAAACCAGCTTGTCCCTAACATGCTGAGTGAAGTGCTGTAAATCAGTACAAATTTATTTACCTTGACTTGTAATATCTCAGCTGTTTCAACTTGTGTTCAACGAGCCCCCCAGCTTCTTCGACCACCGATCTGTTTTTTCCATCCAGAGATTCCAGCAAGACAATGCCCAAGACTGTAATCTAATGGATTATGCCATTTTGGATTCTCTTAAGAGAAAGGTGTACTAGGGTTAGTCGGACAAACTGACTGAACAGGAATTGAAAGGCAGGATAGTCACTTATTGGGAGCAGATACCTTTAGATAAGATCTTGGGATGAAAAAAAAACGGTTGCGATTGGTGGTCAAAGGGCACATTGAACACAGGTTGAAATAGATATGTTTTGTTCGTGGACAGTTCTTATACATTTGTATTCAATGACTTGCATATTTTCAGGATTGAATGACGACATCTTAAAGTATAATCTGTGAAATTTTGAAAGTAATCAATTTACCAACAGCCGAGATACTACCCCTCTAACTTAAGGATATTTTTTTTTTGCAACATCCAAATTTACACTTTTCGATGTGGGCATATAAAAACTGGCCTCCATAAGCCAAATGTGGATGTGAAAAATATGACATAAGATAGCTTGCCAGGTTAGGTAATATATGCCCACTGGCAGCTTTTATTTTGAATAAAAATATTTGGCAGTACTATAACAATCACCAGTATGAAATATTCAACCGACAGTCCTGCACTTCTTTTGAACATTTTGAGGCGATACTGAATAATATTACCAAGTTTCATCAAAATCTGTCATTAATTAAACCCACTAGAGCGTTAATGCGCTAAAAATTGAACGCGTTTTCAAGAACAAGGACAATAACTCATACTAAACGATGAAGAGGATAGTAATCATTTCAATCAATGTATTGAATTTTCATCAAAGCGCAGCTGTGCAAATTACTTACACAATATAGGTTCACCAACACCATTCCTCCTAACTCAGTATTTAGGATTTCTCAGGGTTTTACTGTGCCGTCTTGTGACATATCTGCTTGCTATATGACATTGTATGACATCATTTTTTATACGCCCACATGAATTTGTTAAAAATAGTTCGTGAGCAGGATTGAAGCTACAGTTTTCAACCAATTCTGATGAAACTTGGAGTGATCATTGGAATTGATAAGATCTTGGACAAGTTTTAACTTGACGCATTTTTGATGAACGGTTTTTGAGTTATTGCCCTTGACTTTGTTAAAACGTGTTGAAATTTGTTAAAAATAGTTTGTGAGTTTTTAGATGTTAAAGGGCAACAACTCCTCAAAACTGACGTAAGAGTTGTGCCTTCTAGAATGTTTGCGAGTTAAAAATTAAACGCGTTCTGAAGAACAGGGGCAATAATTCATACTAAATATTTTTCAAGTTTTATGATTTTCCAATAGTGTTATTACGAACACTCACACCAAGTTTTGTCAAGAATTGTGCCTTGTAGTGTTTATGAGCAATTGTGGACGGGTGACGGCAATGTAGGCCACCCTATTCATGTGATCGTATAAAAATCGATTCAAATCAGATGAAAACTCATCTATTTTGCACACAAAGAGGCATTTTCGAACAGGGGCGACTGTATAAGTGGATGCCTAGTAATTTACTGTATATAGATAGCTGAAATGTGCCCAAGTGACTATTTATACATCAGAGTGATTATTTAGACGGCTTGACAAAGTCATCAAATTCCACACAATTGGAATAGCATTCTTATTAGACAGAATCAAAAGAACAGTTGCATGCGGTTACATCTGAGATGGTATATTTAAGAGGAAATAAAAACTCTGTACTTTTCCAACATTGGCTTTATTATTTCCAATGGGTTTTTCACATTTTTTTTCAGTTCAAGTTTAGAAAAAGAATCCTAGGATCTTTCCTCCAAGATGCTTTTTCCTGGCTTCTTCATGATCCATGATACCTCCTGATGTTGTTAACACTAAATATCTGAAAGAAAATCACAAACTATTTACAAACTGATCAAATTACAATCCCATGTACATACTAAGCACTACTTGAGGACATTGTCCAACAAAAAAGAAACCGTCATAAAATATCAAAACATATCTCTTTTAAAAGTCTCAGTGGAATACATAAATCAACAGAATAAAAGAAAAAATTCACACCAAAACATGCTTTATTATTAAAAAAGTGAAATTGAATTCGCTTTTTAAGTATATTTTCAAATATTTTTTGTTGTTAAATTTGCTTTATTTTGGTCAATTTCGTCCAGCCAATATTTGCGATTCAAAAAAATTACTAAGATTGGCAATGTATACTAAGAGTGCATATCATGTGATAAGACACATCAAAGAGATCATGATGTAATATATATGGAAAGTTGATTTGCTGTTGGGTCATTGTCAGAATTTTATTTTTGGGTTAGGTACTAAGCAAATTTGACTTCATTCTATGTCCAGAAAAGCAGAGCTATAAAGAAATGAACAAAAGTCTATTTATTGAGATGTCCTACTTCACTACAGTGTCATCAAGAATATTGATTCTGCCAGTACCTCATTAAAACCTTGCAAGGTGCAAGAAATAATCATCAAAGGAAATCTCCAAGAAACAATCCGAGGCAGAAAGAAAGCCTTTGTATGAAAGTCAGTATTAAATCAAATGCAGGTCTTTGGACTTTAATGTATTACAGTAATGTATCTAATTCTGCCAACATGATATTTATATACTTCACTCACCCAAACTGTCTGGAAGGCAAAAGTTGGTTGGTCCATTTTTCTAATTGTCTGATAGATACATCAAATCTAGGACTGATAACACCACACTGAAAACAAAGTTAGATATAATAATCACCAGTTTACACATTGGTAAGAGTAATCAATTCTAGATTATATAGTCGATATAAAATCATACACATCTATACTATTAAGTTCATCAAATCAGTCGATATTATTCATAAACAATGGAAATATTGTCACCAGTCAGAAAAAAAATTGTCTTCAGAAGTGCAGAAGAACGAAGGTTAAACATCATTCTGGTGATCAATTCAATAAAGTTGCTTATAAAGTTACAATTATCTTCATAGCTGAAAATTTTTTTAATGTACTTGATTCATCATTATGTTGGTCAAATATTTCTTCATCTTCAGAAAATGCTTTGATTGCAAATAATCTGACCAGTAAACCTTTAAACTAATTACTTAAATGGATACTACGTCTTAGGATGAACATAAAATTTTAATTTTGCTCAAATTTGGCCAATAACAAAATATTAAGGGGAAGTAACTCTCAAGTGGGTTTTCCCGCATCCTTGACCTCTACTCTTAAGTTGACCTTGACACTGTCAGACATATTTTGAAGACGGAATAATAATGCCTCGTAGGAGATTAAGCCACTCCGCGAAAAAACAATTGAGAACCACTGACACAATTTTCAACGAATATTAATCATTGACAAAGTTTGTTTGTATGTATTTACCAGAAGATGATTGTTTCCTGTTTTAGCGTTGATTACCCAGACTTTTTTTTTTCTCAAACTGAATGGACTTGTCGCTTGCTCACTTTTTTTTTAAATTTTGATTATAGTTTTATTGTTGCTTTTTCAAACTTCATTAAGTGTGGGATGCATACTTATTTAACCAATGGTCACTAATCTTAGCCACAGGACAAGTGTATTCTAAGACGTAGTATCCCTTTAAGATTGAATAATTGACTCACTTTATTTAATCTTCCTGTCAAGTTAACAACAATTTTACAATTCCTGTGATCATCAATTATTTCAAATTCACCAATATAGCCTGAAAAATAATTTCAATATATTATTAAGATTTATAATCAGCCTTAATAATCATGTAAAATCATTAAACAGCAATTCCAAAATTCAATAATGTACATCATTCATGAACATATAGTTTGTCATAAAGTAACCTGACTCCATCCTTTCATACTTTAAATGCAGTGGGTTCAAAAGTAGCTGGCAGTCGGCAAAAACCACTGCATAAAATCCTCATTTTGTCATCACTGGCTACTTTTCATTAATAACAAATTTTCGCTTTTAAAATCAAATTTAACGGTATCCTTAAATCGAAACCTTCATTTCATAAAATATAATTTTTGGCAAAATTGAATGTAATCTTCGCCAGTATTTTTTCTTCACTATCACGACATAAGATTTGTTTGATATCCTCAAATAAAAAACAATACTAATGTTCACGCTCTTGTGAACCACGATATGGCTTAAACTTGCTTGGTAGATTTGGACCCCACTGACCGACAATCAAGTTCGTCATTTCTTAGAATAATGACAGGCTCATAAATATTCCGAACTGTATAAATCGCAACCCAGAGGCACACCACCTTGAAATTTAGATTCAGTGTCACCGGAAGATCCAAATAACAATGACAAATATTATTTCTAATTTAGGCTTTGAAATGATTATAAAATATACAATTGAAATACAACAGTAAAATAAAAGCCTTCCTTGAAGACATCTTGTTGGATATGCCACTGAAAATTATGCCAACCTGTTAATTTTATACATGCGGACTGGTAGTAGATTCCCGATTCATTTGAATGTATGAAGGGATGCGTATTATCAAAATGTATGTAATACAAAATACAAGTGAAGGTTTCTTTTTATTTTTCTATATTCAGACCCACATTTGGTATTAATAGTACTATCAAATCTGTTTATATAAATTGAATAAATTAATTTGTATTTATCCTAGTCTGAAGAAGACCTAGATGGAAGTGTCAATTTTTTCAAAAGCCAGGATTATGCATATCTGATATTTCATATTCAAAATATTCTTAGTGGGGGAGGTCACCTAAACTCCATTTTACCATTTTCTTCGGCTAATGAACTCTTGGCATGACCAGCCTCCTACTTTTCTGAAACTGCCCCTACTTTTGAACCCCCTTCTACATGTTCAAATAATTTTTGTATGAATTGAAATTTGTATTTAAACAGGAATATTTGGTCCAAAGTGTGCATTTTTAAAAACAGCAAAAAGCACACCCATTAATTCAGAAGATATAGCAGTGCCCAATTCTAGATGCTAAAGTAAAAAAAATTCTTTTACCGACATGGGATCAGGTTCATGATTTTTCAGACTGTTTGTGTAATGACTCACCATGTTTCATCATTACTGTGAGAAAGCGGATGATGACCTTTGAACTTGGTCGTAATATGACCTGTCGTTTTCCACGCCTTTCAGCGGCAGTGATTCTATTCAAGGCCATCGCTAACACGCTGATCATAACCATCTTGGCAACTGAAATAAAATAAGCTTATAAATTAGTATTCATAATTACATCAGTAGACTTCATTATATAAACTTGTTTCTCTAATTCAATTACATGCCCATAACAGCCTAAGTTAAAGCCATTGTCACCACTATTTACATAAATTCAAGAGTAAAATCAACGCCCAAAATGCCGCACTTGTCCTTTAAATCAATTTACAAATCATTTTTAAGTGAAATATCAGCTGAAAAGTACTGACATTAAGAGAATGACTTTGCACTGATAATAAAAAATAACACGTTTTCAGTTAAATGGGAAGTTTGTTTCCATTTAAAGTTAACTCGCAAAACTTCCAGGCAAACAGTAACCTTATATTAGTATTTTGTGGCTGATATACTTTAAAAATAATGGCTATTTCAATTTACCGACAAATATGCAAAGACAGTAGCCTAGCCGAGGCACAAAAAAAAGTGGTAAATTGGGTTTATGTTGACAGGCAACAACATGCATTAGGTACTCTATTTTGATTTCAACCAGTTAAAGAAAAGAAACTTGGTTGATTTTGTGAGAATTGTGTTATCTACCACCAGTCAGACAGAAAATTTTCTTCAGAAGTGCAGAAGAACGAAGGTTAAGCATCATTCTGGTGGAAGACATGAAAACACTCATGGATCTCAGTAAGGAATTTAAAATACAAGCTTAAAGGATAGGAATTGGAAATTATATCAAAAATATTGTATATAGGGTAAACTAAATATACCTGGGACGGGAATGTATAACCCTCATAAATATATAGTGTTTTCTTTCACTCACCACTGCTTTTGTAGCAGTTTTCATCCAATTTCAAGAATTTTTACCCGTAACAGCCCCGTCTGAGAATCCATGATGCATAAAACCACAAATCCAGTCCACAGTAAATTTTAAGGTCAGTATTATTAGTTATCATTACTATTATCTCTTTTAATAAATTATGATGATGAATGATATATGATTTAAAGTTTAAAATGATTAATAAGTTTTGTTTGTTGTATTCACTGTTCAGGTAATACCTTAAAAATTCATTGCGGACAGTGAAAGAATCACTATATTTATGAAGTTAAAACAACCCAGAGTAGTATTCGACATTTCATCCGTGCTGATTTACATGAAGATTTACATTTAGCCAATCCCCTAAAAATGCATTGCACTCCTGGTGTTTTTTTTACATTGCCGGCTATTTAGAATATCCTATATAGCTTATTATTGATAAATTTCCGATTCCAGTTCTTAAAGGAAATGGTCAAATGGAAAATATCAGATAAGGAACGCATTTTTGAGGGATTGACCTAAATGATGGCTGACTCTATATCTTAACGTAGTACAGAGTAGTTGTATGCAGAGGAGATCAAGCAATTTTTTTATATAATTCTGTCCTATATGGAAATCATCCCTTAACTTTTAGCGGTATTAGTATGATTTCAAAATAATAAAAATACCACAGGGCACTGGCCAGAAAAATAGAGGAAGTCCAAGATTCCTGAACACATCTCTTAAGCAGCATATTCAAAGAAATTTCAAGATTAACGTCAAGCCAGGTTTTATTTGCCTCCGACGTACCTAAGCTTTTGAAGACCGAACTAAAAAGAAAGACCCATGATTTAATGTGTATTTATAATATCCAAACGATAATTTTATCAGACACATCCCTCATACTAAATCACCTTTTCGTCTGCATTAAAAGGGATGAAGGGTACGTTTTACACATAATCAAGAAGGAAAAATATTACTTCATGAAATTGATTCAGATTTAGGGATATAGACCTATTTTGGACTGGGATTCATATGGATTTATTCATCAGCTATATGCAACCATGTTTACCTTTAGTAAGACGGCTTCAAAAGACCGACTCAGTGTAAACTTCCGGTAAATATGCTTCCGGTAACTTTCAATTGCAAATTGTATTTG